CAACACCTTCAACAGCGGGTAACAGCAACGCGCAACAACAACAACAACTAGCGCGGCTACCATAGCGCTCAACAACAACAACAAGTTGGCCACAACGGCAGCGACCGGCTAACACCAACAACAAGGCGGCGAAATTAAAGGCGGCCACACCGTTTAACCACAACTACAAGGCGGCCAACAACAACGGTTGCGCGAAGCAACAACGCCAACAACGGCGGCCACAGCAACAACGTAACCGCCAGAGCAAAGGCGGCAACACGAGCAACCGCCAGAACAGAGGCGACCACTACAACAACAACAACCACTCCAGCGCAGCAGAACAGAAGCAGTTGCAATAACGGCATCGCCTCTTCCAAGGCATGCTGCTACAAGGTGGGGTGAGTTCTAAAACCTAGAAAAATACTAAAACTCAAACAACAAAAAGTAAATTAGTACAACAAGAGAAAATTAAATAATGGAAAAAGAAAGAAAACGTATAACCAAGTATAAATCTTGACGACTTAAGTATTTAGTAAAGCGATAGCAACCTGAATATAGTATATTAATTAATTAATTAATCCCAACGGCTTTTTACCCTCCATTCCCGCCCAACCGACACGAGGGGCGCAGTCCGCATGACGTACGGAACCTTTTTTTTTTATAGTTTTTTCGTGCCGAGTAGTGGAAACAGGAGTTTGTTAAGTGTCGAGATCTAAAACTATTCAGCTACAGAATCAAATTCATCAGCTGATTGGATATGCTAAAGATAGTAAAAATCGAGTTCGATACGTCAAACGTGCTGGAATGACAGTTAAAATCTTGACATAAACCACGGAATGATTCGTTTAGTTCAAAATTAGTTTTGCATGGCTTTAAAAATAGAGGTCGAAAGTGTCTTGACATTCGAGAAGGAACATTAAAATTTACCTCAGCCAGGAGGGCCGGGCTATTAATCAAGCCTGTCATTAATTTTACGATAAATATTATACCCAGCATTTCTCTACGACTTGCGAGTGTAGGCAAATTTATGAGCTTTAGACGACTTGTGTAAGG